ACAAGAAATTGATTAAAGGAACAACAGCCATGACAAAGAAAGTAAAATGAGCATTGAAAGGGAATTTTTGAGTAAATGACCAAGCTATCAAAGGAGATGAAATTAAGGGTGCAAATAACCTAAACAATGCCACTAAACTTTGACTCAGCCCATTCAGTGTACCTAATAAATCACTTGTTACACTATTAGCAATCATAGCCATTACTGAAGCAAAACAAAATTGAGTTGTTATATTCACCATAAAACTATAAACACTAAGCCCTATCCATAGTGCTACATTACCGTAAGGATATAAATAATAAATACAAGGAGGTATATTGTATAAAATAAAGTTACCTATTGAACCAATTCTATTTGTCCATAATGGTCCAAAAAATTTTACTGTTGGTCGATAAATAAATAATTGTGTACAAATAATTCCTATTGCAGAAATCATATTGAATGTTCCTATTTGACTTGTTTCCCATCCAAAACCACCTACACTAATAGACCCCATCATCAATAAAGGAATAATGTTCAACATCATTGCAGCACCAACAGCAATGATAGAATAATTAAAACAACATAAAATCCCAACAAATTCTTTAGAAAATAACATTTTAACTATCTTAATGGTTCTTTCTATAACTTTCTTAAAAATGTTCAAAAGTTCAAGGTACCATTGTTCGTTAGTACGTTCTCTTGGTTTTGTCTCTTCCAAATAGAAATAACTAAGAACAACACCAACCGTTGTAATTGAAGAACAAACTAAATTTGGTAATATAAAGGGAAATGTTTCGAAGAATTTCATTCCTCCAAATATTGATGGATATTGTTTTGTTGGACGAGCAAGATATCCTCCAATACTTGCTCCAATAATCATACCAAAACCATTTGTTAATCCAATAAGACCAAACACTTGTGCTCTATTTTCTTTTGTAGAAAACTCTCCCATAAAAGTTTTAATTACACCAATATTACCATTAACCAACCCATTAATGGAACGAGAAATAATAGCCCACCAATAGTTAAAAGAAAATCCAAAAAGGGTAGTTGAAATAATGGATCCAATAGACCCAATCAATAAAATGGGTCTTCTTCCTATATTATCTGATAAAACTCCTAAGAAGAATGAAGAAAGAAATTGTGAAAAGAAATAACATGCATTTAATAATCCACTATAATATCCAGCTTGGTTTGGACTATCTACTACTCCAAAATCCGTTACCATAAATCCAGCATATGCTGCAATAGAGTTGTTAGTAAATGATTCACAAATTTGTAATAATAATAATGGAATTAATTTTCTTGTTGGAAATCCTTTTGGAAAAAAATTAACAATTGGAGAAAGTATGACCTTCAATATCTTATGCATATATTTGGTATAGATAAAAGATAATGAATACCCTCTTTTGTTTGATTTTTCTTTTTTTGAACTACAAATAAAACTTCGAA